TTTGTTTCACTAGGAATGGATTATTTTTTTATTTTTTTATTACTTATTGCCATATGACTTTTTTCTCTTGCCCTTCTCTGATAAATCTCTCATGAGAATATCAGCTTTCTTTTTGCTGATGATGTTGCTTGATTTTGTGGCCTTTTAGTTGCAAAATGTTTCTCTTCAAAGCCATTCTCTATTTGCTAAAATAACATTCAGTCAACCATGTTTTTTTTTTTTTTAAATCCTGCAGGCGTTCTCCTCGTTGGTTCAACTGCTTACTATTAAACTGTTTCAAATGTTGTTGCTTATGCAAGTTCTACAGAAACAGAATCCTCTTTCTATTATTATGAATATGCAAAATGAATTTACAAACTTACGTGGGAAGTTAGTAAATATTTTCATTTACTTTTAAGCTAACAAGCTCTTTAGAACATGTACGCAATCTTTTTTTTTTTTTTTTTTTTTTTTTCAACAATGAATTGACAAGAACTGATACTAGAGGCCACTGTTTGAAACCCAAGTAAAATCAAAGGTGTCAAATGCTGATTTTCACGGCAAGTAATCCCTACATATATGGTCTGGAGCCCCTTCTGTTTGCCTCAGGGTTCTTGATAAGATTCAGAGATGGATATGCAATGCAATTAACCCTGATCTGGCATCTCGTCTGCAGTCACTCTCTCACAGACGTGCCATCACCTCTCTCTGTCTTTTTTACAAATACTTTCATGGTAATTGCTCCAATGAGCTGCTTTCGCTGGTTCCCAGACTTCATGAATTCAAGCGACCTACGAGGCTGGCATCCCACTCTCACCCTTTCACTATTGAAACTGTTAAATGTAGCTGTCTCTTCTACTCCAATAGCTTCATATCTCACACCTCTTGCCTGTGGAATTCCCTTCCCTTTTCCTGTTTCCCTGATAGCTATAATCTCCAACTATTCAAATGTAATGCCAATCAACATCTCTAGTTGCCTTGATCTATCGACTATCCTTCTCTTCATCCTTTCCTCTATCACTCCTATCTGCTCTCGCTCCAAATCCTCTGTAACCCCTTGCATGCTAGAGGCTTCCAGCCTTGCTTGGAGTGAAATGCTTTAAAAAAAAAAACATACAATATCCCCCTCTTCCTGCTCTCAAGTCTAACATTGTGCTCTATATCTGGCTAAGATATTCTCACTGGTGACAAGTCCTTCTTTGATCCTAAGTAAAAAAAAAAAAAAAAAAAAGCTTGGATTTTAAATGTTGATTTTTATAATCAAGCAGAACTAGTGTAAATCAGTGATCCTGCTATATTTTCCATGGACTTATGGTTATATCACATTAAAACACTGGTTCACATACAATTACCAAAATTAAGTAATGTCAAGCTTGGTTAGTACCTGGCTAGATGATCATTTGGGAATACCAGGTGTTGTAAGTAGGTGGTGAAATTAATAAAAACTCAGAATTGGAATTAGGGGAACCAAGTACCAATTCCAGGCAGATTTGTTATAGTCATTTATGTGCAAATACTCTTGGGAAAGGTATGAATTGACCTTTTCTCCCCTCAGCTATGGGTTAATTAGTGAGATTTGTATCAGTAAATAATTATCTCTAAAAGAATTTTTACAATCAAAAATTAATTTCTGGTTTTAAATAACCTGTAAAAGGTTGATAAGCTATAAAAAGAAATCAATCATATATTTTTCCTGATTTGGCTTCATGCCTTACTAACAAAGGTGTAACAACAGCAAAAACCTGATTGTATGTTCCAAGTTATAGCAGAGGAGAAATGAGAACTTTTTTTCCTCTGTTTACTTCAATTTTTTTTTTTTTTTTTTTTTTGTCTCTAAATAGATTGTTTTCTTTTAAAAAAATGTCATCACTCTAAAAATTTATTTGGAGCAATTGATTCAATTTTCTGTTTCTTTTTTTACACTGTGGCTTATCTAATAAGATCGCGGTGTCATTTAACAGGATTCATTCAAGTTTAGCCTTGTTAGCAATATGTCTGAAACTAGGACAAGACAATCCAACAGTTATTTGGATGATTGGACATTTTAGCCAATCCATTTTACAACCTTCTTCAGGTGTACAATCTATAAACAAATATGACTCGATTCATTCCTGGCAACAAATATTACGCATGCAATTTCTTTTTCAGTAACCTGTATAACACAAATGATTCTATGTTTTGTTTATATATTGTGTTGCTCTCCAATTCTTTCCCTATTAAACAAAGCAACCCATGTTGACCTCACTTATTTGTCTGATTAATGTTTGCCAGTGCTATACAAAGTCCTTTTTTCATATCTTTATTGGCATTTAAGTGGTGGTTCTCAAAGTTTGATCTGCAAGACCCATGTGAGGTATTTGCAAAAAGATGTAACAAGACCCATGTAATGTATTTTGGAAAAGATGTAGTGAAAAAATATTTTTTTAAAATATCAAGTATTTGGAAATAATTTATTCTTAATTCAATATTATAGCAATTACTAAACAGTCCTGTGATATATTAGAAAGTTAATTATGACAGAAAAGGATTTTCATTGAATTTGCTCCCTCAAAAATGACATTACCTTCCATGCAAAAGGGGAGCTTTTCAGTTATTTAGTTTTTATACTTTTTTTGTTTTTTTACTCATATACAGATAAGCAAATAAATAATTAAGTTATTTTGTTTGAAAAGTCATCTTCCTTGTTCAGTGTGCATGTCAACCTCACAATATTGTTATTTGCCCAAATTTTATTTTTGCACTATTCAAGTTAATGCATTTCAAGAGTAATTTAATTTATTACCTTTACCAACATTATCTCAGCCAATCAGAGGTTCCAAACATACAAAACAAGACTTTTTAGTTTTTTTATACAAGTGGGTACTGAAAAGGTCTTAACTCAATCCACTTCCCAAATCTGATCAAACATTAGAATATTTGGTGGGACTGGCTTCTTGCATTGATAAAATTAATGAAATATTTTAAATTCTTATTAAAGTAATACGCTGAATAAGAATTTAGCATTTATCAAAACTTCAAAGAGATTTAAAAAAAAAAGAAAAAAAAGAGTGCTAAAAATTATTCTGTAAAATTGCCAGAAATAGATTAGCAATCTGTAACCTTCATGCTTGCAAAAAATACCCCCAAAAAACAGTGCACATGAAAGACTATAATTTAGTTTTTATTCTTAATTTCCAGATAAGAAATCTTTAACCTTCATGCCCACAAAAAAAAAGTGTCAAAGGATGGTTTTTCCCTTGACACCACTATTATTTTAACTATCTTCACTCTTTGGCAATGTTTATTGTTTTAAAAAGTTATGATTAGAATTGTAATAAAACAGAAACATGATGAAAGCAAATTTATCCATTTTCTTTGTTCTTGAGAATTTACAACAAAAATAATAAACATTATTGAATTGTTTATTAGAATGGTTGGCAAAACATCAGCTAATTGCCAATTGATTCGAATTTTATAAAATGGTAAGTAATAAAAATTTCCTTAAGGATGGTTGACATATTTTAATAATTTAGTAAATGTTTATAAAATTATGAATAAGAAACAATTTCTTTATAAATTGCTAATTGATAAATATTGCATTAGTTTTAATACAATTTTATTAGTTTTTAGAATGTTGTAAATATAAAATTATTCTTGTAAATAAACAATCTAATAGTGTTATAAATTTTTGTTGTAAATTCTCAGTTCACTTTCATCATATGTTTAGGTTTTATTACAATTCTAATCATCACTTTTTAAAAGCAATAAACATTACCAAGGAGGGAAGGTAGTTAAAATAATAGCGGTGTCAAAAGAAAAACCATCCTTTTAACACACGGATTTTTTTTTTTTTTTTTTGCAGACATGAATGTTAAAGATTGCCCTATTTCTTGTCTGGAAATCTTACTTATTATAAAACGCAGATTGTGTGTGTGTCTGTACGTTTATATATTGGATCGGATTTCCTACATTTTTCAACCGATTTCAACAAAACTTCACAGGACTACGTAAAATTACCTTGCGGGGGTTCTGACAGCGCCAAAAATTGGAAAAACAATTGTTTTTGCACAAAATCAATTTGAAAACACGATTAAGAGGCATCGCGAGAATGAAAGGGGGGACAACTTCTATCAAGTTATACTTATTATAAAACCCAGGTTGTTTGTGTGTGTGTTCTTTTATATATGGGATCGGATTTCCTACATTTTTCAACCTATTCCAACAAAACTTCACTTTTTTTTTTTTTTTTTTTTGGCAGGTAGTATTTCCTATTGTCTTGAACACTTTCTACTTTATTTTTACATTCAGAATGCTTTAAAAATTCCATTTATAAGACAATTGTTTATAATAAAATTCTATTCAATCGGTAGACTCATAACGATTGAAAACGATGTTTTTGTTTGAGTTTGGGTTTGACCAATTCGTAAAAAAAAAAAAACTAATTAAGACGTGTGTCCGTCAACCTTAAACAATAATCTTTGTCAATTTTTTTTTTTTTTTTTCAATCTTTATGATGGTCGATACTTGATCTATCTCTTACTGTTACATCCCTGGGCAATGCCGGGCTCTACTGTTAGTTAATAATAAAAAATAAATTATAGTCTTTTTGTACAGAGGCTTTGTATCATGCATCTGTTGTCGGCCTCAAAGTTCATGTGTGTCCATAAATTTACAGGATAGTACATAGTATTTCTTAGACTATGAGAGACTACTATGATAAGTATAGCACAAGACCACTTTAGTAAGTGGTCTTGGTGTCAACAGTTGCATAATAGTCAATAAAGCCCAGTTTTCTTGTAAAATGAATTCTGTCTTCACCAAGTACTTCACTACTAGGATCTTTTGGAAGACTATGCTTGCTAATTAAGCACAAGTGACTGTAACTATTTGAATTTCTTACATGAAGCATTGTCTATTTAAACCTTACTCAAAAGCTTATTTCATGTACACATCTAAGCACTATAACAATATTATTATAATTATTATTAATTATTATATATTATATTATTATCAACACTATTCAGCTGTACCTTTTGTTTCAGATGTCATAATGGTGGATTCAAGTATTGAGGTTCTGGCAATATTGAGGCATTATTTTAAAACTGGACCTCAAGGCCACTGAAGCTGCTCACAGGATTCAGGAAGTGGAAGACAATGCAACAATATCTGATTATATGACCCAAGGCTGGTTCAAGCATTTTAATAGTGTTGACTTGTTCTTTGAAATAAAGATAAAAAAAGGAGAACAATCAGTTGTCGAGTATGATGCTTTCAAATGCAAAATATAAGCAACCCATCCCCCAGACCTCAAGAACTTTCAGAAGAGCTAGAATCATCGAAAGATACCATATGTAGATTATTACAAAAATTTCAAAAACATTCATATCTTGAGAATTTAAAAAAAAAAAAAATATTTTTTATACAACCCCAATGCTTTTTAATAGTATTTCTTTCATCTTGTTTCTGTTGCATCTATCACAAATCTAACATTGTTGGTTGTGCAGATTGGAAAGAAAGAATTGGCTTCTGATGAGATTTAAACTTGTATGTTTTTATCCTTATGATCCTGCCTTTCCATGACAGCAGTTTATCAACTAAGCTACAAATACTGAATAGTAGGTGTCATCTAAATCTATGCTGTTATCATGTCTATTTATTTTTAAACTAATCAGTAAAGAAGATGGTAACAAAAAGAACATTTATACTCAGTCATAAAGAAATAACTGAGGAAGGATGGCTTAGGAAACTTAACACTCACAGGGCATATTGAGGGCAAGAGTGAAAGGGGAAGATAGCAGACCACCTACCTGACATGCTTATGTGAATGGATGGTGGAGTAGAGATGGAAGGCATGACAAAGGGATAAACATTGCTAAGGGCCATGAAGGACTGGAAGTTGTGAAGAGCCATGATCGCCACATCCTGAAGGGACACAGCACTTAGAGAAAGATTAGATGTAACAGTATTGAAATTTCTTGGAAGAATCATTATCAGTTATTATTATCCTCAAGTATTATCAGTTATTATTAAAAGAATCATTATCAAGCATTATCAGTTATTATTAAAAGAATCATTATCAAGCATTATCAGTTATTATTAAAAGAATCATTATCAAGCATTATCAGTTATTATTAAAAGGATGACAAATAGGATGAAAGAAATACTAGTGAAAAATTAATAATAGCCACAAGTGAATGATTTATGATTTTTATAGCAGATGTCTACCTTTCTTTATAATATGTTAAAATTTTATGAACTTTTACTAGAAAAGATGAAGGATCTGCATTCACTGAAAAATTGCTCAAACTTGTGAGATCTTTTTATAGTGGGACTGACACAAGATTTTATTTCAAAGATCAAGCATTTTTTTTTCTTTTTTAATTAATGCATGTTTTCAGTAAATAATGACTAGGAAACATATACTAATTAAACCTTTGTCTACATAATGTATCAAGTGTATTTGTAAGTCAATTTTGTATGTGTGTCTGTAATATCTCTTTCTTTTTGTTTTACTAGAATTACCTCCCTTGTACTGAATAAACAAGGTGGCAGTGTCTTATGACATGAGCAGACTTTTCAAAGGTGTTTATAAATATAGGAGAGGAAAAGACTGGCTCCCTAAAAGAGAAAAGTTCAACAAAAATAATTGGAGAAATATATTTAAAATGCAATCATTTTAATGGCCTGTATAAGTCAGTTATGTGTCATGCATAATACACACTTAGGTGATCATGTATCTTTTGATACATGACTGACAAGGCAAATTTTTTTCCCCACAGTAGGTTGCCATTTCTTTCTGTGGTAGACCAGTTACCATCCAAGGCTATAGAACCCGGTCTGTTCTGCTATTTACCCATAGCTAGAAGAGGATTCACACTTTTCACAAGGGTATTAGCATGTAAATGAATTGTAATGGATTTGACTGGAATTCACTCTATTTTCCAATCCCTCAATCGGAGATATGAATCCTCCTCTTCTCCCCCAGCTATGGGTAAATAGCAGGACAGACCCGGTTCTATAGCCTAGGATGGTAGACTAGTTACCATCCAAGGCTATAGAACCCAGTCTGTCCTGCTATTTACCCATTTAGTTACTAGTTATTGGCCTGTATCAACTAGTCTCTTATAAATAATTATATTTGCCACTTTTAAGGATTTCAATCACCAGATTATGACCATAAATTCAACATGACTGCAAATATGTACTTGTCTTGTTTTTAAGATAAAACAGATTGACAATCCCTAAAATGGCTAGACTGATCTTTTTTTTTCCTTTATGACAAATATTTTCATGACAATTGTTCTAATGACCTCTCCACTTTGATACCTCGACCTCATGAATTAAAGTATAATACTAGCTTGGCAATTAGGTCTCATCATTTTACTGTTGAAATAGCAAAATATAACCCTAAGTTACATTTGCCTTGTGTACCTATTGGGACTTACTCAAACCAGACCTCAAGTGGAACTCGTACATACAATCTAAAGATGGTTGGTTTGTTGTACTGCTTCAATAAGTACCTGATTCCTCCTGCTATCTTCTACCTTTACAAGACCCAGATCAGGGGTGACAATTGAGTATTGCAGCCATATATGGATAAGAGCTGCTCAGTCTTCAGAGTCCAAAAGCACCACCACATCTTTGTGTGTGACAAATTGTTTTCCTTCCTACAATCTCTTTCCCATGGACAAAATGTTGCAAGCCTCTTGCTGCTTTCTTGCTATTTCTATGGAAAGCATTCAGCCAAACGGCATTCCTTAGTTCAACCAATTCTAGCCTTCACAGGCAAGACCTGCTGTGCCACACACACTGTAGCAAACTGGCCTCATTCCCTTTGTATTCCATTCGTGAGATGTAAGTTCTACTCAAGCAGATTCTTCCCACCAACTGCTGCTTCCCCCAATCACTACAATCTTAATCTGTTCAAGTTTAAAGTCTACCATTATCTTCCTCACATATTCACATGAACTGCATCTCTTAATCTTTAACCCTCTATCTTGAGTGGCTCTTGAGCTTTGTACAGAGTGAATATCATTATAAAAAAAATAGCATCTTTACTCATACTTTTCACCTCTGGAATTCTCTTCCAGGTTCTTGCTTTCACCAAGAATTTAAAACAACATCAATTGCAATTTTTGGTTTTTCTGAACCCTGTTCTTTTATTGTCGTTTCTCCTCACTAACATTTTCTAGTTTCCTCTCACTCCCAGCAATCTCTTGAATCTTAGTGGCTTTACCACCTTGCTTGGGGTGAAATGATTAAAAAAAAAAAATGTGGGTGTGCAGGGTAACGACAGCTCGGAAAGAGAAATCTGCAAGTTCAAATTCCGGCCAAGTTCATCAATTTTGTAAGTACCTTAGAAAAAGGCTCTTTTTTTTTTTTTTTTTTTTTTAAATTGTTCACTGAGCACAAGGCCTAAGAGCCACTCAATTTAGAGGGTTACAGATTGAGATTGTTGGACATGTGTTAGAGGGGGAAATAAGAAGTGCAATTTATGAGCATATGTAGGAAGGATGACTTCTTCAGGTCTAGGGTTAACTGTTAAGATTGTAGTAGAATCTGTTCCATAAAGTAACAATTCCTGAGAAGAAGCAGTCTGAATGAAAGTTCCTTCTTATTAATGGAATGGGGATGATTTGTCCTTGTGTATGTGACATGATACACCTTAGCTATGAAGGTCGGAGCTGGTGGCATGAATCTATCTCTTCCCCTACTACCATCTATGGGTTAAATAACAGGGTAACCCTCTAGCCTTGCTTGGCAACCAGTCTAGAGATGGTGATTCTATAAAAACACCTATTCCTTAGTAGCCTGGGCCACTTGCAGGGATGTGTCAGCTCTTAAAAAATAAAAATGCATAATGATTGAAATTCTCAAGTCGTGAAAGTTGCACAATCTGCTACAAGCAAAGATGGCATCTCAATTTTTTTTTATTTTTTAAGTCACTTTAGAATGTATGAATCTCAAGCAAGTACCTATTGTGCTTACAGTTTGAAAATTGCACTCGCAAGCCCTTGTTTTCTAATTTGGATTTTTATGCATCTGATATATCAAAATTGACTTGGTGCAAAAAAAAAAAGTTCAGGTGAAAATATTTTAAGAATTTCCCTTTGTATATAAGAGAGAAAAGCTAAACAGGTCAAATATATTGTAGACATTTCTAAGTATGAGTCAGAATGAATTCAATTACTTTGCTTCTAAAACAAAACTATGTAGATTATTTCCTCCATTTTTTTTTTTTTTTTTTTTTTTTTGTCCTGTTTTTCTTTATCGGATTGCTACTTATGCAGAAAATGTTGCCTTTATTTAGCTGTATGGTAGGATATAACGATAAAATTACAATGCTTATTGTATTTATTGTTGATAATATATGGTAGGATATAACGATAAAATTACAATGCAGTTAAAAAGAAATGGTCTGTTTCGTGTTTACTGCTATTATTAGCGACCGATAGTCAAAAGATAATTGGTTCACGTGACCAAATACGTTTGCGTGCGCCTGAAATTACTAGTGAATAAATTAGCTTCAGACCACCTGTTAGAAATCTTTTTTTTTTTTTCCGCTTATTATTGCCTTTGGTAATGAGAGTGGTAGTACTTGGAACCCATATAATGAAAGTTTTGTGAATATTTCTGGAAAACTGATGGCGGGAAAAAAAGAAAGGTTTATGTTCGAATTTTTATTCACAAAATCATGACTTTTTGATAATATACTGGCTACGTAAAAGAAAGAAAGCGTTTAAAAAAGAAAATATTTTTCTGCATATCCGCACAAATTTTCGAATTCCTTGTGAAACAAATTTAGCCGCATCTACCGACGTAAAAACTGAAGTTGAACATTTTATTTTTTATCATTGAATAAAAAAACTGATAGATCGAGATCACACGTCAGGTCATCAACCGATGGCAACCCTAATTAAAATTATTGAATGACTTTTTTTTTTTTTTTTTTTTTTGACATGTAGCTTTTTATTTTAATTTTTTTTATTTTAACTTAATTTATATTTCAACTTAACATCCACGAAGAGGATTTTCTTTTTGTTTTCAAAAC